TCGGATATGGGTAGCAATAAGGTGTTTATGCCCCGACAGTTGGGGCTTGTGGAGAAGCTCCCAGCCGGATGAAAAATAATTTCTAGATATTTTGGCAGTTTCACTGAAGCAAAATATAAATATGCCAATTTTCTACCACTAAACAGTAGATATAGGTGTAAAAATCGTAAATTTTGGCGCTTCACAGAACCAAACTATAAATATACCAATTTTCCGCGCTAAACAGTTGAAATAGGTTTAAAAGTCTGAATTATCTTTCACCATTAAAAGATGTTCATTAAAACCTAACATTCAAGGTCAGAGCAAGAGGAATCAAATAATATAATACAATTCATCGGCAGGACTCGCGCCTAATTAAACTGCAAATGCTTGGATTAGTAAACTCGTGGAGTCCAAACATCCCGATCTCAAATATCCAAAAATACACGAAAAAATTAGAAGATTAAGAGGATTTATATCAAGATTGACAGCTCTGACTAATCAATTGATAGAATTTCGAAATCTAATTAGACTCCAGAATCTACAAATATTCCAAGCGAAACAATAATTATAAGCACGAAATGTGTCGAATGAAGCGTGCGTAGAATTATTGACCCGATCGTAGATCTCGCCGGCGAAGAGAAGAACCCGAATACTACAGAGCTGCCGATCGGAGAGGGCATGAGAACGGTAAAGGTTCACTCCTACTTTCTCGTTTTTAGGCCTTGTTTGATTGTGAATTTTTCTTTTCACATTATTTCAACATATTACACGCAAATCCAAAATATTTCTTTATTTTCTAACTACACATTTTCGATCAATATATTATTCAAAAACACATTTTCATTCTATTAATGTGGCTCAAACAAGGGCTTATAGTTTGATTTTGTTGAGATCTTTATCAAACGCACCGTGTTTGTAGCGATTTTTTATTCCAAAAAATCAAATTTTTTATCGTTATTTTACTATTTTAGTCGTCATTTTTACTTTTTCATTCACAGATTGGATCCACTTTTCTTTAAGGATCAAAAAATCAATTCTCACAATCACTACTAAACGGACCCTAAATTATACCTTTAAAATTTTAGGACATGTTCGACAGTGATTATGAGAATTGATTTTTTGATCGTTAGAGAGAAAAATGAATCACACTTATAAGTGAAGAAGTAAAAAATAATTGTTGAAATAGTGAAATAACGATACAAAATTGATTTTTGGGATAAAAATCCATGGTTAATACAAGTATGATACTTTCCAATGATGAGATTTCTGAGGGCTAGAAAATTATTTTTTTCCTTATTTTATTTGGTTAACTCTTTATTTAAAATCTCATACCTGTCAAATTTCTGGATTTGCTTACCTAAATGCTAAATGTTTTGTTTTGTGAGCAACATCTAAGTTCTTTTGGTGAAAATTTTATGGTTGACATTTCAATATATATTAGGCCATTCTCTTTGTTAGATGACATGGAACTGAACAACTTTATGACAAACTAATAATGTTTGGTGTTCGTGTCGGATAATAAAATTATTTTAAGTTTGAGAAGCAAGGAACAAGATGACTTGTATAAAGCTCAGGCATGAACAAATACCAAATTTTGTTATAGATACATTTGATGCCAAAATGAACCAAGAAATGAGGAGGTTCATAGCTTGTTCTTAATTAAAAATGACTCTGCAAATTATTTAAATTACTAACACGAAAATACCAAGTCATGCTTAAACAACAATAAACAACCTGGATATTAAATGGTCGCAGAATTGTTACAATTAGTTCTTAGAGAGTAAAATAATGTTGCATAGATGGAGGAAGTGCGTTCTATTCCTACTTGAAAGAACAAAGGAGATACTCTAGATTGTACAAATTCAGAGGTATTAAGCTCATGACTCATGAGCCATGCAATAAAATTATTAAAGTGATGATCGATTACAAAGAAAGGTGTAATTAAAAGGTATCAAAGAATAAAATTTTCTTTAAGTGGGAAAGATCTACAATGGAAGCTAGTTTTGTGCGTAGGAGATTGATGAAAAATAGTAGAATGAAACTGCATATAATTTTTACTGATTGGAAAAATGTTTTATGATAGGGTGTCTAGGTATGGTCCATGAAGCAGCTAAAGTTGCTTGTCAAGCATTGACTATTGTTGAGACTCAGGAGGCCAGTATTCAAACCAATTAATTTTGATATTGTTATCATTATTGTTTTTTCGTTGTTGTATCACGTTAATGCATATTAATTACCTCAGGTTAAAGTTTCATACAAAAATCTTCTTCAAGAAATGGCCCAAAAAAGAGGTCTTAAGCTTCCAATATATGAGACATTGCAAGAAGGTCCTCCTCGCAAGCCTATAATTGTGTCAATTGTGGAGATAGGAAGTGATACTTTCCGAGGAACTGAAGCAAAAACTAAAAAGCAGGCAGAGATGAATGTTGTTGAAATGGCTTGCGTTGCTCTTACTGAGAGTAAGAAACTAATTATTAATTGGGTTTGAGTTTGTTCTAGTCTCTCAAAACAAC